TACATTGGAATAAGAGAGTTTTTGAATGGCTATAATATTTGAAACATTGACTCGATTTCCACCAAACTTTGCCTTTTTATTGATTTAGATAATGTAGGTCGCGCACCGATTTCTGCAATTTTAAAACTTGTGCCCAGTTTCCTGCTCGGACATGAAAGCTGGCAATTCAAAATTGTCAGACAAAACTTCGAAAAAAAATCCGTCATTTTTCTGATTGGTTTTGATTCATGCATTGCTTCAATTAAATGTATTTAATGCAATTTTCTAAACTTAACTGCTATGGATATATTGGGTTATAGTTATGACTAGTCTAAACCCATAAAGCAAAGCAGACTCGATGTCAACTTTTCAAACTAACCATAGTCATATCATCTTGTAACATTGGATGTTGGGGGGAGGGGAAGGGAAACATTTTCATCGCAGGAGGAGCGAAGAATAATTGTGTCTGTTCAGTGGAAAACTCTTTTTGCCAGGATTGTAGCTATAGCCGTGGGCCGGGTTGACCAAAGCCCGATTAACGTTACTCCATGCAGGGTTAACGCCATAGTCTTGTTAAGAGGTAAGCCAGGATTAGCGATAATCCAGCTTTGAACAACCCAGCACTCGTTAAATTCTGTTACGCAAAGATTCAACATGCATGACCAGTCTCATGCATTGCTACCTTTCGAGATGCCCTTAAAGCCATGAAGGTTGATGCAATGGAAACCACAAATTTAAGGAAAACACAAACACAAGAATTTACTTTTCAGTATTTTTTGCAATTTTCTTGAATTTTCTAGCTTTATTTTGGTGTCGCCTGCCTTTGTGAGTGACTTTGGTGCCACTGTAGTAAAAGCACAACCCAAACGAACACACAATGTATCGACCAATGAAAACACTAGTGCCAAGGATTTGTAACAGTTTTGTTATTGCAAAATTTAATAAATATTAAGTAGAAAAGAAAGCAGAGAGCTTTAAAATATAAAAGCTGAAGATTCTTGTGTTTGTGTTAGTTTCACATGATATGATTTTGTTGGACTTGGGTTTGGGTCGTAGAAAAAAAAAACAAGTTTTTAGCTTCCTTGACAACTTCTCTAAGCAGCTGGAAGTTTATTCTTAGTATTTCTGTAGTGTTTGCTCAGTTTTCCAACAGCTATTATATTACTGTAATAGAAATGACAAATCAAAGTGATTTGTTTGAAAGGTTACCGATTGTTACAATTTTTCATATGTGCGAATGTTGAGTTTTTTGAAGTTTTGGGGAAACATCTGCCTTAGAGATGACAGTCAAGTTGATTCACTTTGGAAAATCAGACTGTCTTTACAGAGATGCCAAGAAATAGGTTGGAAGCGGAATCTGAAGACATAAAAAAGTCATGAACTGTCACATRACTTTGAAAATAAAAAAAGATCAAGAATTTCTGTAAATCAAGGTTTAAGACAGGGAAATATGCTTAGTTTGGTACGTATGAATTACGAAACAAGATTTTTTATTACCACAAAAATTCCGACATGGAAATATGACTAATTAATGAAAATTTGSTAAGTTAAGGAAGATAAATAAAGGCCGGCTTCCTTCCCCGGCAGATAAAACACTCCAAGTACGTGACATGAGACCGGCGGCTCTAGAAAGACTCTGGAAAACTAATCGATYRGCCTACAATGCTATACAAAATGTATAGTGAAAAAACCTTGGAAAAGTATTATTTACAGGTCAGTAMCATTTCCACAGTGTTTTCTAATTGAAAAACGAAATTTGACTTTATTGCTTTCTATGGTCCTGTATAGTCTCATTCGAATTTATTTCTTAATCATTTAGATTTCTTGTGAATTACAAAGCACGCGCGTGTTGCTTCTTAAATGCTTTCGTCAGCAATGTAACGCTTTTCAGTCTTGAGGCAAAAGCTCGACAATAATAAATAAAAATGTGAAAGGTTGAAGTACCGCTTAACATTATGAATCAAAAAACAAACAGTTGTTTGATTTGATAAAGTTATATTTCTATATTTTTAAACTTCAAAAAGGGGGGTGCCTAGCCACTCTAATCCCCCCTGGATTCTACCTTTGTTAGTAACTTATCAGTCACATGGCCTTGTTTAGGAGTTATTGCCTAATTTTAAAAAGATTGCAGATATGCCATCAAACTCACTCTATCAGTATGGATTTAATGRCTAAAAGCAATTAACAATTACTACTATAAATTCAAATCCCATTATCACTAGATGCAGTACGGGTTCAATGAGKGAAGAGGGAGGCAACTCCYTCCCAAAGGACCCAGGGCTATAAGCTTGTGGGGTTCGGTTGGTTCTTTTTTTAAGAACTGTTTTTGAGATATACWCTATATTTGTGTATTTAATTTAGGTCATGCACATTATGACCTCCTATTTGCAACCTACGGGCTTGGGACCCATATAAACGAATGTGAGTTCGATTTCTAGAATCTAATTCTAACATCGAAGARTTGTACCTAAAAGAAACCACAAAACAGATACATTCAAAATTCATAGTCATACTAAGAAGGGCCACCACAATAATTGTTCCAAAGGGACGGCGAGCAAGGGCGTAAGCTTTCAGAAGGAACTTTCCCCTGGGAAAATAWCACACACTCCCCAAAACAGTACACATCGGCATATTTGACTTCCTATATGATGCTTGAAACTCAGTAGAGTGAAGTGAGAGGTAGAAAAACTGATACTTTTAGCGGCGACTTTTAATTTGACAAATACCGCTCCTCAAATTTTAAGTGCATTTCAATGTCAACAGGAAAGGGTCAATTTGCTAATGTAAGAGGTTCACGTTGGTAAAGGGTCTTTCATGCAAACTACGGTTTTTCCATAACAAAGCTTAATATCTTTCTGGATTGTTTTCGATTTCAACTTGGCAATGTTACCTTCTCAAATAACTACTGACTATTTAAAACCTGAAATTGAAACGGTCATCACGGACCAAGAAAGTTTTTAACTCGGTTAGGCTCTGTGTTATTGTATTCTAAAACAATCTTGAATTTCCAATTTGTTTTCCCTTTTTATGGATAGCACATTTGTCTCATCACATTACCAATCATTTCATTAAAACTTTGCAATCAGAGTAAATCATCTTACAGCCAAATGACTGTTTTATGTTGGYCAAGTAAGTGTTTCCATAACACTATAGTGGATTTTCTGGTCGCTTTAGTTAACGTGGAATAATTCTTAGGATCAGCGATATTACGCGAGCAAGACGTTTTGACAGATATAATCAATAATAAATCAAATATTTCAATTGCTTGCGTTTTTCATGACCTTTCATGATTACATAATAACAAAATATAGATTGACCCAAATCACAGTCAATCCAGTCTGGGGAAAATCCCGACGATGAGTTATGTTCGATTAAAACGTCTATCAAACATTGAGAAATAAGCCTGAACTAAGAATATTTTATGTTATTTGGAAACTTATCTTATTCATCCTATTTGATGTGTAATGAGTCAGTTTCRTATGAAAAAAGACTTACCGGTAATTATGCAAATGTTTTTTTTTTCAGCTGTTCATCGCTAAATGATTCAGTGTTTGATGAGAGCCCGTCGAGAGCGGACYAAATGCTGTTCTGTGAAGAACAACACACAGTCGGAGTTAATTAAAAATAGACTTGATTCTAAAAGAGAGATTGGATGTGCTTCTCAACTCTAAATGTTGTTTGTACTTGGTGAAAGGAGATATGGAAAGCGCTGAAATAGTAGTGATCACTTTCTTCATTTCCARCTGAAGGTGAATTTGTCGCACTGAAATACGTTGGTCAAGTACAGAGTTARTTTGGACAAGACTAAATCTTTACTAAAAGGATCACCAACCAGACGAACACTTATGTATTCTAACATCGTTCGATTCATTGCTTCATTTTCTCTTATCCTGACTTTTGGTGTTGGAATCATTGGCAACATATTAGTATGTTCAGCGGTTCGTCGAAATATAAGTATGCGCACACCTACTAACTTGATTCTGGTGAACCTCGCCATAGCAGATTTACTTGGATGTGTGGTAAATATGCCGATTATGTTTGTGACATTTATTACAGACTTTGMACATGGGTATCTTGAGGTTCTTGGCGAAGTACACTTCGTTTTGACAGTGTTTATTGGCATCGCGATCTGTTCCTGTCAAATACTACTGTGTATTGACCGGCATGACGTCATGAAATCTCCTACAAGCAGAAGAATAACAAAAAGTCGCATGAAACGTATCASTAAGATCCTTTGGTTTGTTTCTATTGGTGCGGGAATGATCACGTGTTTACTTGTGATTGTAGTTCCAACGCACTGGCTGACCTTACAAGACGACGAACCCCATTTCATTGCTGGTGAAATTCTGAACAGTTTTGGCACCATTGTGATTCTGTCTATCCTGGTTGCCATGATGTATTCTTGTCATGCTGTCAAGCGAGGTATTGTCGCACATAACATACGTATGATGCAATCACTTGGYAGAGCGACCCTGGATCGAGAGATCAAAATCAATAAAGTAGCAGGCTGTCTTGTGATTGGTTTTACTGCCACGTGTCTACCATGGATTATAGTACGCCTAGTGTATTCCATCACCGGTCATCAAGACAAAGTATCATACATCATCTCSTATACTTTACTATACGCCTCACATGCAATCAACCCCATAGTATATGCTGGTCTCATGAAAACCTTCCAGAGAGCTATGCTACAAAGCCTGTGTCTGGTGGGACTGGTTTGCCCCAAATCGTCATGTTGCAAGAAAATTGGTCCTCAAGAAAACCAAGCGAGAAACTCTACTAATACCTGCCCAGGTCTTTCGGCTCATTTGGCTAATCACTCGCAGAGTCTCGAAATAAACTTTGAAGCTATGGCAATTAAAACTGGTTAAAAACTCGTTTTGGAAACACTTCTCTGATACATTGACAAGCAGTTCACTGTAGGTTGGTCCTTCCTTGTGAACAAAACAAACCTCCTGTTGACATGGCCCTCAGCASAAAAACCTCATAATGTCTGGATACTAACCATTTTAAAATTCAATGATTGATTTCCATGAAATGAACGTATTCCTACAACCCCAATGAATGAAAATCTTCTTTTGTAAAAGTTTGACTCGAAAAAATGTATTAACAAAGCATAACTGACCGCGTAACGGCTCTGAAGGTTTGCACAGATCGTCATGGCTAAACGTCTATGTTTGTACTATTAAAGTAGCGTGTTWCTTAGGCAGCATTTACATATGATCGTCGGTTAACCTGGTGAAATGAATTGGGAAATACTAGTATTATTGGGGAGGAAATAGCTGTCTGATAAAACCACCTTAAAAAAAAACTAAAAGATTTTAGCTGTCGATGCCCCTCARGGGCTTTTTCTTCCATCTCCTTCTCCCGCCCCAATCTCTCCCAGCTCCCACTTAATATCCCCATGGCCAAGTTTTCCATAGATGTATTTACACGTCATTGTTTTGATTGTGTGTGTGTGAAAAAAATAATCTTACTTTTCAAAATGCTTTATAGAACTGTAAATTTTGGAAAACATTTTTCAAAAATATCCGGATTCGGTAACCGTTTCCGTTGGTTTCGTGTAAACGATGATGACCTTAACGTATTCCGAACTGCGTGTTTTTTGTTGTTGTTGTTGTTGTTTTGTTCCCTTCTTAACTTCTTGTAGATTATAGAAGGCTTTGACGAGTCCATAAAACATTCATTAGGATTTGAATACAGACGAAATACCCAGGTATGTACACCAGTGGTGATCCAGACGAGGAATTAGACGAAACAGCAAAACTCAAAAAAATCCTGCTTGGGAATATTTTCAATTATCTTTGAAGAACTGAAGCTCAGCAGCTCAGCATTAACGTTACTTTTAATGACATTTTAGGTTCAAAAGCTAAAGAGGAATAAACCAAATTACGAGACATTAGTAAACTTTTCACAGCAATAATGTACCAACAGCGAAGAATCTTATGTATTAATATTATTTTTTAAAAAGCTTGTCTCAAGCAAGAAAACRCTGTAAATTTGACGGAATATTTCTGATATAAGAAACAGTAGATTTCCCGCCATAAAATGTATGCTAATATATAAAGACTTCTTATACATAAAGGTAATGAACAACAACAGCTCAAGGTTAATACAAAACAAAGGCGAGACACACTGGGAAACCTGAACTCTCTCCTGTCACTGTTCAGCATTTTTCAATATTTATTGATTTAGTTGGGGATCCAGTTATTTTTGTGGAAATGTTTTTGATGTTAATCGAAAACAATGGTGTTACCCGCTCATGTACTAATTGTTTTTCTTTTAATCAATCAACGCAAGAAACTTGACGTACAAATTAATAACAGATTTAGAGACCTTGACACACTCAAACACGGAAGCATCCAAACACTTTTAGATTAAATAGATATTTCTGTAAAAAAACTACTCAGTAATATTTTGCGGTTATTATCGCTTGAAAATGATTTATAGCTCTATATAAAATTTTCGATATATAACGCGCGCTTTGATTGGCTGACGACCGTGTTTATATCAGAGGACAGAGACACGGCTTACCGGCAAAATTTGCTTTTCGCTCGAAAAATTTTATAAAAGAAATATAAAACGTCCGCTTGTGTCTCTGTCCTCTAATATAAACACGGTGGGAGTTCGAAAAACACGAGAGAACCAAGCTTAGGAACACGAGCGTAGCGAGAAACAAGAGAAACACTCGCACCGTTTTTCGTATCGTGTTTATCCGTCCACACAATACGAAAATTTGCATGCGGTAGGAGTGCAAAGACATCTCCGCCTCGGCTCAGCACTCTAATACGACATGTAGGAGTTATCAAGCATCTCCTATTTCAATATCCCCTTCTCTTTCAATAACATCCGTCTTCGGCAACCGAAGGAGTGTTTACATCGCTAGCACGCCCACGTACTTTATTTCTTACAATAATCTGTAATACAAATGAAAAATAAGCATTACAAAATAGAATTTACAAACAGAAATTGTTTAAGATACAAAGAGAACGAGAGTACGAGCACTAAGTGCGAAAAAGTTCACCAAAATATAAAGCAATTTGCAATAATATACAACAATACAATACAATACAATACAATGAACTTTATTTAAAGAGGGTAACACTTGACAGTATTAAAAAACACTGATGAACTCGTGGCCCTCTAATATTACACACGGACGCTTACAAGGAAACGGACTGCCTTCTTTATACCATMTCTATKTTATTTTGGTTCTCTTTGGTTCGACTTTGGTGAAAGCATCCCAAACACTCAAAAAAGATAAATCAACATACAAAAAGTACAAGTTCATGAGAAATTCATAATAGCAAATCATTTCAAATCTATTATAACATTTTCCATTCTAAATTTAGTCATGTATGGTGCTAACAAATAGCAATAGAAATGTCCTAAGTTCGCGTTAGTTCTTACTGATCATAATATGCTGATCAAACTTCTGATCTTTATTTCGCATCTTGTGCTTTCTGTCCCAGGCGTAATCTCACTGGAAAAAATCGCGCGCCATAAAGGTTGTAAATTTGATGGAAATATGATGTAAGTGTCCAAAATGATGTAAATTTGATGGAAATGATTTACATCAAATTTACATCATTTTGGACACTTACATCATATTTCCATCAAATTTACAACCTTTAAAGCGCGCGATTTTTTCCAGTGTCTAAATCGCTTATTTATTCTCGCGTTTGCTTCGCTAAGGTGTCATCCAACTGTATATCCATTGTTTCCTATTTTTCTTCAATCATTTTGAAGTTTTAATACTGTCTTTTCGATCGTCTTTTTCAGCTTAAGATGGTTTATCTGTTAGTCACGTGTCGTAAGCCTGTTTATAAGCATAGGCAGGAGCTCCTGGCATAGGCATACAATGCTTGACAACAACAGAAGGAGAATCGCTGAATGTTGGTGTTAGTTTCTATTTTTCCCTCCCCCGCTCCCCCTTTGCAAAATGTTGTATTTTAGAGAGCACACATACCTGCTGGATTCTGTTTGAGTGCTAACAACACTGTTTTGGGGGAGGGGAGGGACAGGAGAGMCTGCTCTGTTGAACTGACCTGAAGGGTGCAGTTACTCTCAACCTTTTTGTCCAGGATTGATAAGTAGTAGATAGCGTCCTAATAACACCCCGGTGAGAAGGGAAAAAACGGAAAGATGCGGGAAGTTGTGGTGAGGAACTGTGAGTCACGGGAAGTCAGAGGGGTGCTATACGAAGGAGTCAGTAACTATATGCAGAGGTTGTTGCAATAATCATGAATATAACGGCAAAGAAAAGTTTAATTGGATAGTGAGCAAGCTACTTTTTTGTAACCACACCTGCAAGACTTAGCAACTTGTTAACATTGATCATATTGTTATCGGCAGTGAAAAGAAAAAAATCCTGAAAAAAAGGAAGAACTTAGTCTCAGTCTTCACCAATCTTGAGGCCATCAAGCAATGTCTTTGAATCTATAACTTCTGAACCTTATACAGCAATAGACATCCTTGGCTTATAAGTTAATGCTGTCAGTGCAAGTATTTAGTATCTAGCAAGTATATGTGTGATTTGTAAGTACAATTTATGTAGCGAATGAATTAATTAATTAATGTAAAGAGCAAACTACAGCAGGATGGTGATATAGCAAACAGAAATATTCTCCTTCGCGGTTCCCTCGTTCCAGGTGTTTTTTTCAGGATTTTTTCCGACTTTTCCTCCTTCAGTAAAAAAGAGCCATTTCTACCTGCTTTGTAGAACGATGGTGAAAGACAGAAGAATTAGCATTGTTGACGGAAGAAGAATTCACTGAGAGCATGACGGGACGATTTCTGACACTCGTTACCTGCAATTCGTGCGAGTGAAGTTCAAAGAAACACTTAACTCATGTAGTATACCCTAACGAAAGAGCCGTTTCTCGGCTTGCTCAATGCAACTGGGCATAAAAGACAGATCAGTGCAAAACAGAAGAACCAAACTTTCCTGTAAAGGTTGAATTTTGGCAAGAATGAAGGATTTTGGGCAGCAAAATTGGAAAGGAATTTCGGGTGTCCTCGTCTTATGTGTAAAAGTGTGCAACTCCAATTTCGTCCTCATCAAAGTGATCACATTCTCTGAAAGGAAAGTCTAGGATGCTTAGTTTAGGAGTTAGCATGCAGTCGTAGAATGTGTAGGGCCAACCTACCTGCCAACCAGGAGCAAGACCATAAGACGATCTGGTCTTCAAAAGCGAAGTGACAGCGACGAAGATATATTTACACTCAGGCTAAACAATTTAAGCAGCGATCACGGAAAGCATCCGACATGCCAAGTCAAGATTAACGATACGCCAATAGAATTTGTATTGATTCTGGATCAAGTATTAATGTCTTAGATGAAAACGATTTTAATTTGCTATATCCCAGCCCCAAACTGGAACACATAAATGTCAAAATTCAGATCGATGAAACTGTTCAGCCTGTACACAACCCCACCGACGAATAGTATATAGACCATAAAAGTGATGAACCACACACAAGCACATCCCAGTCACCAAAACAGAGCAAAGGTACGTACAGCCAAACAGAAAGAGAGGAACTTGCATTAGTGTGGAGCTGCGAACACTTCCGCCTGTATGTCTATGGTAAACCAATCACCGCCAAACAGATCACAACCCAGTAGTCCACATTTACAATAACCCAAGATCTAAGGGAGGAACGATGATCGTTACAGCCATATATACCAAGTCACCGTAGCGTACAACAACTCCGGTGATTATATGTCCAGACACCTCACCAAGTGCACAAAGACATCCAGCAGACAAGAGAAAGTAGCTGAAGAATTTGTTGACTACATCACAGACACATCAACCCCGAAAGCAATCAGCACCCAAGAGATCACTAACGCAACAAGAAGACTTGACCTAACACTTCAAGCTGTATACAAAGCCTTGGAAAAAGTTAAGGACGAACTAACCATCAATTTGACACACGCCATCATCCTTAAAGGCACACATTCCATCATCCTTACAACAAGGAGTCGTTGACCTTGCCCACGAAGGACAACAAGGCATTGTCAAAATCTGAGAAACTGTTTAGAGAAAAGTCGTAAATACACAAAGTTGCATCTTGTACCTGCATGGCAAGTTTCTACACCCTCTGCAACTCGTGAACCGTTAAATATGGCCCAACTCACAGCATCAGCCTTGAAAGTAAACATCGACTGTCTGTACATGAATATCTACTTGTTATCATCGACTACTCCCAGTTTCCAATCGTCGAACCATTCTCGTACCCAGACCCTACTCTGTCGGCCTCTAGCGGCCTGTCGTAGGCTCTGGGACATCCTATAAACCGGGAGCAAGAGCATCAGAAACTGTCTTACCCGTGATAGACAAAGCATTTTTTGGTATCCCATAAGTTGTGAGATCAGACAATGGATGGCCATTCAGTGGGAATAAATTAAAAGAATTCTCCCGGACACTTGGATTCTTTCACCGAAAAGTAACCCCATTGTGACCGCAAGCCATGGAAAAGTAAAACGTTTTATGAAGGAAGCCATCCTACCAGCCAGAACAGAAGGAAAACTCTGGAAGACGGAACTGTCTAAACTATTGAGTAACTATCAATCGACACCACATATGAGGGTCTCAATGGGGTTAAACGTGAGCCGTGAAACGGCTGAAAAATTAGCCGTGAGTTGTGAAAATGAGAAAAAATTAGCCGTGAGGCGTGAATATTTTTTTGTAGCGTGAGCCGTGATTCAGTTTTGTTCTCAGAAGGACAGTCAACTCCAGGCGCGCGCTTGTAATTTTTTTTTTCTTTTTTTTTTTTTTTGTAAATTTAAAAATTAAAAGCTTGAGTGGAGATTTTTCAAAATTTTGCCTTGCCAGAATTTTTTCGGACCTTCGGGCCGTGCAGGAATTTTTCTCAAAAATCTTCCACTCCCCCACCCCAAAGCAAAGATGAAAGCTTACGCTGATAAGAACGCTTATGTGAAACAGTCGGAAATCTCTATCGGTGACCACTGCAGTCACCTTACAAGTCATCATAGGGGGGAGTGGAAAGTCAGGAGACAAAGTCACAACCCGGAACTCTTCATTCTTCAAACAGATCCCTGAAGCCACTCTAAAGTTTCCAGACACCAACATGGACATGGATGATCTTTGGAAAATCAATCCGGTTGGTGACAAGATTGAGATGACCCTAACGCCCAATCCTGAAGCCACCTCAAGTTATACAAAACGCTATCCTAAACGCAACCGATGTCCACCCAAGTACTTACAAGACCATGTTTAATACATGTTAATAGGACATAGTCTTTAGTGTTATGTAACGTTGACATTTCATAGTATAGTTACGAGTCTTCACGGTGGTATACTGACGCACGAACTATTGATTTTGGGGGATGGCGATCCACCGACGCTTTTCCTCTGCAAATTTGGTCAAATTTCAAATTTGTCTTTCAGTTCACAGCATTAAAATGACAAAAAAAGGTTTTGCAAATAATGTACTTAAGGAACAGTAGCTACACCTTCTTTAAATCAAAAATCTTTAAAAATATGTGAGATTTTTATTTGACTGATGAGGGGAGCGCGTGCTCGCGACTTGAAAAACCGACATGAAAACAATGCGCTCTCCCGTCATTTACAACCACGAATCGAGAGACACAGTGTTTAATTTGAATTAAATAGTATCTCTAGTAAGAATATATTACATGCTTTTGAGGTTTAGGCTGCACTAATAGAGAGGTTTAGCATGACGTTCACGGCAAACGGCAGAAAAGATCACGTGACCTGCTTTTTTGGAGTTAAACGTTGCAGTTTCAACTCGAGAGCGGGTTATTTTGGGGTTTCCATAATCGTGAAAAGCCGCTCTTTCAAATGACTACCAAAAGCACAAGGTCGGGCACGAAATTCTTAGGTCATTGGTTCAGCTCTGCCGTTAGCCGTTTGCCGTAAACGTGATGCTTAAACTCTCTAATAAGATCTCCGCAACTGGAGTATTTTAATACTAAAAAAAAATTGAAAGTTGGGTTGCCTGTGGTATTGTGATCATGAATACGAGGCTGTCATCATTGTTCAAGATGGCGGAGTATAAGACGGTTGGGGTTGGTGATATTAGTTTCTTGGTCCAGAAAACAGGTCTTTCTGATCCTGCTCTACGTCTTGTTATTGGATTACTGCTAGGTAATGTTCTAAAGGTTTACAGTGGATTTTTTTTTCTTTGCAGTTATGATATTTTCGAGAGAATGACGTGTTTTCTTGATCTTTCTCCTGATCTTTGTACCTCTTATCTTAAGCTTAAGTAAGTTTATATGAAAACAGGTTTATTTTCGAATGCCACTTCCTTTCAGAACTCACAATTATTCTCTGTCAGAAATTGTTAATGATAAAATTTTAAAGATAACTTACAAGTTTACTTAACCTTTTCAAAGACGATACTCCCATCGATCAATTGATCAATTGATTCGCAAATCTTTATATCTCTTCCATAAAGAAATTTATCAACTTTATTTGGAGTGCGAGTCACTGAGTGTGAGGCAGTTGTTAACTATTTAGCTATTTAAATTCAGTTATCAACCATGTTTTTGCAAAAGAATTCGCCAGGGCATTGACACAATAAACGATCATGATTGTAAACAATGCAGTACAATAAAGGGACATGGTCCACCAGCATTCAGTGCGGTCATGTTTCAGATTTTTCATATGTGGATGAGGTGACTTCAAATATCCATTGACAATCTGTTTCCATCCATAGTTTTACATATATGTTGTAGTTCAGGTTCAATATATTTTTGAACCAGTTTAATTTAATTTGTAATTTTGATTTTTTTTTTTTTTTTTTTTTGTTTTGGCATTCTTAAAAGAGCTAAAAGAACTATATCCCATCTCATTCTCTCCCATTTTCTATCTATCATGTTATTTTCTACCTTCTACTATTTCCTACTTTATCTTACCCTATGCCCCACAGAAATATTGATATTTTCTATATTTTTAATTTATGAATAACACTTACCTTCATCAGGGTTTGAACCACTGAACTCTTGCTTCATAGTCCACAGTACTACCAATTATACCATCAAGGATTTTGTTGGTAGTAATGTTTGCAAATTGTTTTTATCTTAATTGTAATTTATTAATGAAGAAAATTTTTATATAATGCTGGCTCAACCCTATTCCCAACCCTAAACCTAACCCTAACCCTAACCATAAACTGATTTGTACTGGATTGAGTTATATTGGACTGGCTCAAAATAAACTGAGCCCAGTTCAGAAGAAATTGAACTGGTTCAAAATCATATTGAACCTGAACTACGACATATATATTTAAGGGATAATAAAGAGTACAGGTTTTGCTTATATTATGATGTATTTTTATTTTCAAACATCAGCAAAAACGTGCTGGACTATGTCCCTTTTAAGCTTAAAAAAGTGTTTCGAATTCGTTTATCATTGTGTTTATGCTTCAGTGAATTCTAGTTTGTTGATAGCTAAATACATCCTAACTAGATACAATTAGTGATAAATAGTTAAGAATTGTTTTACACCTTTGTGGCATTCACTCCACCCTATCAACAAAACCAACAACATTCATTACAGTATTTATATTTTATTTATTAAGTTTTGTCTACTAGATTAAACATTGATTGTTAAAATTTTATCAACATGAGGTTAAAAGATAAAGATTTTTTAATTTTAGTGTAAAACATTATTCAACTTGAACAAATTAAGCTACTGAAACTTAGTCCTGAATTTGTCTGTAATCTATGAAAATCAAAACAATATTCTATTTATAACTACTTTGTTTCAAGACTATTATTTAGTATAATAAGYACTCAGTAATCAAATTATTGTTTCACAGATTTATATTGTGTAAATCGTATGGTAATGTAGATACTTTTCAAAAAAATTAATTCATGGATTAATTAAGTAAATATAGCATCTAGTAGCAATTTTATAATGATACCAGATGTTTTATTAAAATTGCATTTTTTTCTGTTCTTTACAGCTTACCCATTGTCTTTGATTTACCGTTTGTGCTTGTACAGAAAGAATCCTTTGCTTCAAGTAAGTCAGCCATTGAATAGCTGATTTGCAAATTTCAACTCCTCAGTAGTYAAACACAAAAGAATCAAGACAAGGCACTGTGCGTAAAGCTCAGTCAATTGTGAAAAACTATTGTCTTTTACAGCAGAAATCATTATATCACAAACTCTTTGTTTTGAAGTTTGTCTGGATTTTGTTCTTTCTTTCAATCTGAGGGGCAGAGCTTTTCGAAAACTTGTTCAATCATTGGCTGATTAGTATCAAGCTCCGCCCCCMAGTCGCAGAAAAATCTAAATCCTAACTATTTACTTTCAACATTGAAGTTGCGATRCAACGGTTTCTGCTGTAAGCTGAACTACTGAGGCAAAATTTGCAAGTCAGCTATCATATCAACTACCAGAGCTTGTGTGTTCTAACATAGCAAATTTGGTCTGGAGGTTATTCATCAGATATTATTTTTACTAACAATACTTTAATATCACCTCATTAAAATCTCTATGATAAGCCAAGAATCWGTGAGTACAAGCTGTTAGAAATAAAAAACATGGCAGGCTCATGAAGGTCCAAGAAAAATCATCTTTTAAAGGGACACTGTCAATGGATGACATGCACGAGTAAACTTGAAAACATTAGGCTAAAACGTAAACAGATCTAGAATATTCGAAAGTGTGTCAAAACATTGATTTACCTTGAAGGTAATACTTTCAGAGGCAAGACTGTTACTGCCCATGTCATCCATTGACAGTGTCCCTTTAATGTTCAATTCTCATAACCATTTTTTCATCTCCCAAATATACCATTCATTTAATGTTTTTTTAGAGAGAAGTACTAAATCCATTTTAATAGAAGTGCAAAATTATCAAAAATCCACACCAAACGTCCTAAATCTACTGAGAAAAGCTGGACATTCCCCTGGAAGTATCTGATAACTTTCCAATGAATCAATAGTATGCAATGTAGCAATTATTACATGATTCTCTGATATGTTGGTTTTAGCATGCATACTTCACATTGGCTGGAATGAGCATGATCATATTTTGTTTTGGTAAGTAAAACACGATACATGAGGTGAATTGTCAAAACATTTTTTAATATTTAAAAATATTCAAAACTAAACTCTCTATGCCACTCACTTACGCTATAGACATCCAACATAGAATAGTTTTCTAGTAATCAGCTATAGACATCCAACATAGAATAGTTTTCTAGTAATCAGCTTCTGCCTCTCAATACCATTCGTCACCATAACGATGAAATGAAATATCTGGGGCTATAAATGTCATCAGGAAAAATTGTTAGAAGTAAGCATCAGAAATATGAAAAGAAATGTATTACACAATAAGTGTGGTAAAATTATACAAAAATCAAAAATTAATTAATCAAGAGGATACTAACCAATCAGTTGCGTTTGGAGAAATTCAGAATTCATACAGCTTTCATAACAATGTTTACATTGCTTGTACAGTACATCTTATTTTGTGTACAAATTTTTAAATAGACATGTACATATTTAAGGCAGTCTATATCTCATTCACTTCTAGCTCAACTGTAAAAAACTCATTAAAAAAAAAGAGACCAGAGCATTAACAAATTACAGATAAAAAAAATTCAGATTATGTTTATTGTACAATTTGAATTGTATGTTTACAGGATGGGGAGTGATTCATTCTATCATAAATATTGCACTTGTGTACGTAATACTTCTGATTGGAGGACCAAACATAGCCACAGTTATTGCAATATTTATTCTGAATCTGGTATGTATCAAAAACACACAGGTCAGGATGTATTAACCTATAAATATTTTCTGGTTTATGTTAATTTTACTGTATGTTCAGGGTTCAGATTACATTAAGTTAGTGTCTGGTCACAAGGACTGCAACAAATAATTTTTTGAATGGACATGTCTCAGTTTTGACATGTCAAATATGATATCGGTAAAAATATAAAAAACAACAAAATAATGAATGTTTGTGCACATTTTTAAATTTAAGTTAAATTTAAATTAAATTTTTAATTTAAAAAAAAATTCCATTTGGCTTAAAAGCAGTTAAAGGCTTTTCCATTTTTTTCTTGTGAAATTTCATTTAAGAAAAAAATGGAAAAGCCTTTAACTGCTTTTAAGCAAAATGGAAATTTTTAAATGTTCACAAACATTCATTATTTTGTTAGTAATATCTGCTTATTATAATTTAGTTGATTAATATATAAAATATATATTTTGAATATTTAAATCATGTGATTGAGTCTTTTCTCAAATAGCATTTTGATAGATTGAGAAGCTAAATACTGTGTTGTAACATTTGACAGGAAAAGTGTGAATTTTTTCCAGTCATTGTCCATTGACTGGATGTTATTTTTAGCCCTAACCTAAAATTTTATGGTTTAATTGGCAAGTCAAGTGTTACATGTGTTCACCTCAGACTTGAGATTACATTGCACCAGCAGTCATTGATAAGAGATTTACGGTTTTATGCAGGGATATCAGTCATTGATAAGAGATTTATGGTATTATGTAGGGATATCTGTTATTTGGAATCATAGTAAATGCTACTGTTGGATATGATATCAACTGGACCACACCTCACTGCTTGTTATGTTTAAGGCTCATCAGTAAGTACATTATTTGATAGCCTGGTATAAGGGGTTTATGTAGCATAACACTCTAAGATAAAAACCATATCTTTGTACATGGATATCATATTCTATATTAAGTATTATATTATAGCTCAATTCCAATCTAACTAATACGGGAACTGATTGGCGGATTTCATACTAAAATSGATGTTTTACATGTATTTTGCTGGTAAACCAGGCTGCTGTCTTAAAGACTTTTGTGTCTAAATGACAGACGGCGGCTATAATATAAAAA